ACGAATAGGATCACTAATCGGGTCTGAGGTATATGAGGACAATCTGCCATAATGTTGTTTTGTGCTTTACTAGCTACACTGCTAACAGACCCAAAATCATTGACTATTTCTACTGAATAAAGAAAGTCAGTCGGTTACTTATGTGAATACATCGTGTGTGTCTTATATAAAACTACTTGTATTGATTGAGTTTCTTATCAATCATTTTAAACAGTTTATACAAGACTATACAAGTATTTAATTTTTTACTGTTGATTAATCTTACACCGGTTTTCATTATTCAATGTGTTTACCCAACGCTCAATGCAATTACTTAATTTTGTTTTAGTAGTAGCATCACCCAAAACATTCAGTTTAATTATCCAAAAAAAGGAGAGAGAAAGGAGCACAACCTAAAATCTCCTGCTGGTAAATGCTTTCCCCCCACACCATTTTTTTTTTTCTCCCATCCAGGCTCATTAAGTATCGACTGCTTGTCTCAGCTCCAGATTAGTGACTTAAAGCCAATAAAAATAAAAGTCATTACCATCTGAAAAACATGAGGTGAGGGCACGAGTTAAAAGTAAAGAGGCCATTAACTTATTAAGGGGGGGAAAAACTCCTAACAGACTTTTGCAACTCAAAACAAAAAGACAAAGGCAAACAGCCAAAAGAGGCCCCGAGGTCTTCAGGCGTCTTATCTCTGCTCCATTTGTATTCAGGGAGTCAACGAGGCCTTAAAGGATTAACTGCTGAATGTTTACCCTTTTATTTTGGTTTCACACCTCCTGTGAGTGGATTAGGCCTTGTGGGAGACGCTACAACCACAGGCAGACCTTCGAGCTTCTCCCACATTCACATGAGTTGATTCAAGTATATCGTCTTGGTGTCTCCACATTCTCAGTGTGCTCTGTCTCCCTGCAGCTGCATTGATTCCTGGTCAAAGGTGAAGCCTTGCTGCCCTGAACATCCCTTTGATTGACTCATGGGGTCACATGTATTCCACGCCGTGACCAACCTGACTCAGGTACGTGCACTGCTGACCTGATAAATGATCAAAACGTGCAGCTAGTACTGCCTGCAGTGAAGAGTAATGGTGACATTATGGTTCAGCAGTGGTAGCGTGTGTGCAATCCGGAGTGCCTACTTGCACAGAGCGCCTGGTTTCAATAGGGGCAGCATGTGATGTATGTGGCACAACCAGTCTGTGGATTTCCCCTGTTTGTGCTACCGTTGGTCCATCAGCAAGCTGTGGAGAAAAGCAAATTTATAACAGACTTTCACTTCAGCTCTTTGAATTTGAAGACAATGCCTCTCACTTTCGTGGTTAACTCTGCTGTTGCTCCCTTCCCTGTTCTGGCCCTCTTACCAACCACTCAGCATTCTACCGATGCACGGCGTCATCCGCGTCCAGCAGCATGCATTTGGGATTTTGGAGGACTGCAGTGGAGAATGTTTGCATCCCCCTAGGGGATGCATACGCAAATTGACACAATTGTGGTACACTAAATTACGCATAACTACAATTATTAAGTGTAATGTATTTAGGTCACACAGTCATTTAAAATGTTGCCAGTACTACAGCCGAGCTGGTGGATTTTTTTGCATCAGCAATTGTGTTTTTGAAGAACCAGGCCTTCAAAGCTATGAAAGAACGACATTTATTATGAGTCCTATTAGCATTAAAGGAGGCTTGGGTGTAACTAAATATTGGCTACACTGAGCAGGAAAGTGCTGGTGAGACTGAGAACTACAAGCCCTTCAAACCCCTGACGACACATTAAGCTGTAAATTTAATTTGCAGAAAGTGTGCTCCGATAACCCACGTGTAGGTTACACAGTGAAATAAGTCGCTTTGTGCATGCTTGTAATTAACCAAGCTACAGATTAAACTACAGATAAGCACCGCGGTGCGTTGCAACGGGAACAGGAAGTGAGACATTGCCACAACAAAGCCAGCACCAAATAAGAGTGCCAGTATCCACGAGTTCTTGGCAAGTTGTTTAAAAAAATAAAATGTGTGGCTAGATTTGTTATCTGGAGTGAAATTGACGCAAGACAAAGAGCTGCGACTGTTAATTATGCCATTATTGACGGATCCAGTGATTGCTTTCTTGATTAGCTATTGTGTGTGATAAATGCCAACAATGTCTGTAAAATGCTAGTCTGGTATGCACATTAATTTCCCAGTGGATGTGTTATAGATTTATTTACTGTTCATCAAAATGATGTGTTTTTCAAGATGGATTTATTAGTTGTACTTTTCAGAAAAGTAAAGAAATGCAATGTGAATCTTTTAGTTTAGCGTTAGCGTCTGAGCCATAGAGAATATAAAAGATGAAAGCAACTATTTATTTTTTTTAAAAACATTTTTTATGGGTTCTATTTTGAGACCTCAAGATGAGCTCGATAAGTCATCAGACAATGCCCAGCATACCCTGGTTAATCCTGCTTTCTAAAACAGAATAATCAGATTGAAAGAAACAGTTTGTTTTATTCAATTCAATTTTATTTATATAGCGCCAAATCACAACAGCAGTCTCCTCAAGGCGCTTTATATTGTACAGTAGATACAGAGGAAAAACCCAACAATCATATGACCCCCTATGAGCAAGCACTTTGGGAAGGAAAAACTCCCTTTTAACAGGAAGAAACCTCCGGCAGAACCAGGCTCAGGGAGGGGCCATCTGCTGTGACCAGTTGGGGTG